ATTATCACTGCTTGCCAAATGGATGCTAATGAGGACATAGTTGGTTTTGCACTGAGGAGCTCCATGCCACACATTCCAATTAAAGCGCAAGTCCCTTATATATGAATCATTTTTGTGGACGGCCTGCCATTTTTATTGCATGAATCAGTTGAATGTGTAGCATGTTACCATTTGTTGAACAATTAACACAAGTGTGCAATGAATGTAACTTCTAATGGTCTGAGACTAGGAAGCATGCTCAGAGTAGCTGGAATATTCAAAGATTCTAGCAACAAACATGTAAACACTTCATTTCACTGCAGTTAACTCAGGTAATTACTTTGATTCTTTGGAGTAGATTTTTTTTCTTGTTTCATATAATTTAATTTTTTTCCCTGCAATACCTTGCTTGGAAACAGCTACCATGCCCTGCCCCCTCCCTTTTTTGTTTTTTTGGTTTTTGTTTGTTTGGGCTTTTTTTAACTGAAACTTTACAAAGAAATTAATCTTGTGGCACAGATGAATTATAGAAAAAAAAAATCAGGAGAAGGGGATAAAGTTGGGGAGAGGGAAAAAAAAGAAAACAGCATATATATAATTTCTGTAGGGTAGCCCTCAGGAAAAATCCTGAAGGGAGCAGGCTGACCAGCAGTGCCAGATTTAGGCTGAAGCTGCTTAAGCTATAGTTTAGGACCTCACAACATGAGGGGCCTCTAAATAAAAAAAAAACAAACCTGGATGTTTTCATTCTAATATGATGAAAATATAAATATATATGGCTCCACAATAATTATTCATATTGAGTTCATAAATGTGTGCAGAAATAATAATTCATCTTAAAATTTAATGAAAATCCATTTTCATGGATTTCATAGAATATTTTTATTGCATGGGGCCTCTTAAATGGGACATATTTTAGGGCCTCAGCATGTCATAATACAGCACTGCTGGCCAGCCTCATTTCTCAGGCAGATATAGATCTGTAGGAAGCAGACAGGTTCAGGGAGAATATCCTCAGTCAAGAGAGAAAAGGACACAACCAACATACTTTTGTTAATGAGCATTATTTCCAAGAAATAAAATCAAAGCCCTCAGAACAGGGACTGGAAAACAGGGCCTAGAGCAGTGGTTCTCAAACTTTTTAGACTCCTGGCACCCCTTGATAAATTTGTAGCACCACTTGATCAATCTGAGGTACCCCTTAGAAAATCCCATGACTTAGTTTTCACTTTTTTTTCTTTTCTTTTTTTTTTGACTACAGAAAAACAGTAGAGCAATTCTCCCAATGCAAAGACCTTAGAAAGACCACAGCAGGTCAGAAGGCTTTTAACACTATGGATTCCTATTTGAAGTCTCTGGGTTTATCTTGTGAATCATGTTTGTACATCTTAACAATGTTAATATTGCATGGCACCCTTGAAAGGATCTCAAGTCACCCCAAGGTGTTGCAACACCCTGTTTGAGAATCAGTGGTCTAGAGTTTTTTTTGATGCATGTGATAAATAAGTTCACTGGCTGTCAAGGTACTTGCCTAACATGTTCTGTTTTAATCTCAGTTTTTCTCCTGGTGCTACCTACCTTTATAATATATTATCAGATTTGCCTGTATACTGATACGTGTATTAGTGGAGTGCTGCAGTAAAGCAAGTCATTAAAACTTAAGTTTGGCAGGATTCTGAACCCTAATCTTTCCTACTTCTGGGGAGCCTCACAACTTATTCTTCATAATAGTCTTCTCTTCCTACATAGTTAGTAAAATTTAACTGGGTAGGTTACAATAGAATCATAGAATCATATAAAATGATGGTTCGAAGGGAACTCAGGAAGTCATCTAGTTCAACCCCCTCAAAGCAGGGGGTTCAAAGCAGGACCATCCCCAAGTAGATCATTCCACCCATGGCTTTGTGTAGCTGGATCTTAAAAACCTCCAAGGATGGAAATTCTAGTGCTTCGCTACCCTCCTCATGAGAAATTTTCTTCCCAGTATACAACCTAAACTTCCTTTGCTGCAACTTAAGACCATTGCAACTTGTTCTGTCACCTGCCACCATTTAGAAGAGTCTATCTCCATTCTCTTTGGATCCACTATTAAGGTAATTGAAGGCTACTATTAAATCCCACCCCATGAGTCTTCACTTCTCCAGACTAAATAAACCCAGTTCCTGCAGCCTTTCCTACATTCTCACTGCCATCCTCTGTAATGTCTCTAATTTGTCTACAATAGTTTAATTCAAAATTACAACCATGTAAAACTTGTAGCTTTTCCTATAAAACAGTCCTTATCTAACTCCTTGCCAGAAATATTTAACTAGATGTCCAATTCTTTTCACCTTCTGGAAGACTATTGTTTTCCTTTTCAACTTTGATTTACCAGTGTTGAGAATAAGTGTAGTCAGAATATTCTGTATGTGCTTAGCTAGTTTCAACTAGTCGATCCCTTTATGCACAAAAGTTATCTTCTCTGAAAGGCATCATGTAAACATTTCAAGTTATTCAACCCTACCAAAAACAAAGTTTTTCATACATAAAAGTTTAAAACATTCTTACTTGGAGAAACTGAACTTCAAATAAACTTAAAAACTTGATTTCACTTTGCCTATAACACATATTATATAAACACAAATTCCCCAAAGGTGCCAAGAATTGTCCCTCTGTTTTTTTAAATGATCGTGTGTGCAGTCTAGCTGAAAAGACTCATCGATTATGTCTACATAAACAACAAAATCCCTTAGAAAAAATATCTAGATCAAAAGCCCTGTCAAACACTGAACAGGAAAGAGAAATCCTGCTTTAAACATGGCCTCTTTCAAGTCTGAATTCAATCCCACAAAGTAAAAACAAAGGATTTCATAATGAAAGGTATTTTAAATGTCTTTATATTGGAACTTCACCAAAGAATTTTTTTCCTTCTATATGTTAAAGCTTTATTTTTCATATATATTCTTTTTTATATTGGGATAGGATTCCAGAGAGTGGGCTTTGCACATTAAAGGAAATGTAGAACAATTTATTCAGAATAAATCTAAGTTCATAGTGGCCAACTGCAATAATTTCCATTAAATATAAAAGATAATTTTAATTTTTCTTCAGTAGTAAGGGTATGGGGTTTCTTTTTCTATCAAAGATCATGCAATTCCCAATAAAAACATTCTAATAGTAGAACAGAACTTCAGGGTTCAGATCTTTCTGTACCTCCTTTTCTCTTTTTTTCAAAACACAAGACCAAGGCAGGCACTTGCACTGCAGAATTAACTGTCAGTAAAAAGAAATCAGATTCTGTACATCAGATCTATGTAATTATCCAATAGAATTCACATTCAAGAACCACAGCTAAATTTAAAGAGGAAACCAGGTATGCTTGAAGGCAGTGAAAGTATTTCAGGAGGGTTATTCCTAGCTTACACTAGTATAAACGAATTAGACTTCATGCGTTCAATTTATCAAACTCCTTTTAAGACAAATGTATAAAAGAGCTATTAGAACTTGAGGAGTAACAACATTTACCTCAAAACGAGATGTGACAAAATGGCAACAGAGAGCCACTTTCCCCATTAACGCTTATATATAATTAAAAGCTCCATATAAAAAAAACAAACAAAAATCCCAAAAAACAAAGTAATCATATAAATCACATGACTGGCATTCAGATTAGAACTTATGCTCTTTGGTTTCAAGGCAGATTTTACAGAGTATTTCAGAACTATTATTTCATAATTGAAACACGATTAGACTTTTGGGATTGACCCTTGTAATTATAGGAGGTCAACTGATCAAATGGTGCTTTGGCAATTGGGGTACAAATCTAAATTGCTAAATAAGTATATACAATGAAACATTAAGTCATAAAACACAAACCAATGCATACCGGTGTATTCATTTGGAACATGACATAAAACTCTATCATCGTTATGTGAATTTAAAGTACAACCATTTTTCCTTTGAATGTATCTTTCTAAAGGAGGAGATAAAAGTAGGTATCCAGGACCATGTTATTTGCCTTTGATAATCTATTTAGGAATTAAAAATATGTAGGTACTCTGTCTGAATCACTAGAATTAAATACTAGGCACACAGCAGTTCATCAGTGATGATTTCCAGATGTAATGATTGGTAACACAAGTCTAGAATGAAGGGTTACAACTACTATGAGTAAGTAGTAGAAATGGACTTCTCATGTCACTTTTTATCTGATCAAAATGCAATATTTTCACCTTCTATAATGGTCTACTGTAACTAAAAACTAGGGCGGAGAACAAGGGCAGCCTGAATCTTGTAGAGCGATGGCCACAAAAAAAGTTTTACCTTCCAAAAAGAATTCTGAGTTGCATAGGAACATAATCAACACATGTGCTGAATGGACCACTGGTTGACAGAACATCATTTCTGAGAAGTATTCTCGACAGATATTAGTGACAGAGTTTCTTTGCACATCAGCTTATCAATGAAAACTATCCCACCTACTGTAGAATCCCAAGAGAAACACCTCTTCCTGTCTTTTGTGCTTCCTTCTTCATGTTCAAATTATCAGGTCAGCACAGATGCATTTAATTTATATCTCCCTGCAGCACTTTTCATTAACCTGTCCCCAAAAGTTCATGCAGATTTGCCTTTTTTTTTGTTTGCAAACTTAGGAGTACTTTTCCTATGCATGCACCGCATTTTTGGCATGTACAAAACAATCATCGCTTTGGAAACAAGTCAGTTACAGAGATCCAGCTTAAAAAAAAGTTCAGGAAACAATGATTGTGAAATTGTTTTCTACTGGAGTTGTGAACTTATCATAAGGTCACACACTTGTGCCAATAGCATTTATCTTTGCTGTCACGCAAAAAGAATGACTCACCTACAATACAGCGCAGTCTTCCTGCAAATCTTTTTAGAACTGTGGCATCTGATTAAACTAATCCACATCATCTATGATGCCAAAATAAACAATCTCCTTACTAACAATATATAAACACTGTTCCTACAACTTCCCTTTGAAATGTCATGAAAAAGTTAAATGATGTTTCATTATTTACCTTGACTAATGAATTGCTCCATGTTGTCTTTGAAAGGCTGGAGGTGCTCTTCTAGTGAGAGCTGATAAACTTTTGCTGCTTCTGTCTCACATACTGAAATAAAAAAAAAAAAACAGATTAGAGATGTACTTTATATTGACACTGTGACAGAGACATTCATATTGCAGTGAAGAGACATTAGCTTATGTTAGCATAAAGCCAAAAATATTTACTGTTCTATGCTCATAAATATATTAAAATACAAATATTCTGATACATTCTTCTCTGAGAGCAGTTCTATTCAATTATATTCTATTGTTTTTGAATAAATTACAGACAGAACAGTTGGTCCCCAAAGTAATAGCAGGTTTGCAAATGCACTAATAAGAATATTGAAAAAGATAGATATAATGGAGTAATGAGTAGAAGGTGACTACAAAATTGGCAAATGCATGCATGGCGTATTTACAAAAAAATTAATTCTTGGCTGAATTTGGGGATGCTGAAGATGTTTGGTCTTATTTAAAACCAAGGTTTTCAGTCTCTAATCAGGTGCAACTTCTTGGACCAGTTCAGTTTTTCATTACATTTTTTGGATTACCGGAAGGCGAAGCAAAATGAAACTCAAGATGCAAAAACCATGCAAACCAGTGAAATGAAATTCCATGGAACAAGTGTTGTACAGCCATGTGCCTGATGTGCATATTCCTCCTTAACTAAGGGTACTTGCTGGAGCCTTTTGTCTTTTCACTAGCCTTTTGAATGATTCAAGAGCAACCATGTAAGAGAGAATCTGCCATTAGCACAATGGCTGTGATGAAGCTTCAGGGTATACAAGGTCAGTCTTAAAATAGTCTGAATCTTGTAGAGTTACAGACTAGTACATAAAAGATAGAAACCAGTGAAGTAATGCAGGCTGGCAAATGATGAGCTGACATCATTAACATATTTAAACAAATTGCCCAGGCTTTAAAATGCCATGAACCAAGCAAACTGAGTTTTTGGACAATGACTAACCAGCCACTATTCAGAGACAACGATAAGCTTTGGTTTCTATTCAAGGAGGAAGGGAATCTTTTTAAAAAATACTGCTTCTATCTAAAAATAAAATCAATATTAAGCACTATTATTTCAGAAGGTGTTTGCATGGTCAAGGTCATCAACTAATTCAAACATTGGAGATAATTTTAATGCTAGAATGAGCTTATTGGTGTATGCCTTACTAAAGTAACTTTAATACATGTGTTTCAAAGTCTAGCATGCACAAGGAGTGAATGTGGTATGCTTCACTTCAGCACTCCCTAGGATCTTCCCTTGAGAGAGTGAACAGGCTCTCAGGTTTGTTTATTTACCTTAAAGTATATTTGAAAACATAAATGCTAGCAGGCTTTTAGGGGGGGGAAATGAACATATGGTGTGTGCTATTTAATTGAAAGCACTAGTTAAATAGTTGTGAAGCAATTTATTTTAAGAGAAGTATTATATACCTGTGCACTTAGGTGGGCAGGCTCAGAAAAATGTGCTTATATGCAAAGTCAAACATGAGAATGGAATTACTACATCATATGTTGCTTTCCTGAAGTTTACAGAATCAGTTCATTTATTCACCAAATAAGAATTGCTGTAGGCAATTCCTACTGCTTCCTCCCTACTTTGACTGTATTATTAGATTATGCCAAGAATGTAAACTTTGTACCTCAAGAAAAGAAAGGTGAATCACCTACATGAATCCTTTCCAGAAATGGTCTCATACACTTAACAAAAAACTCTTCATCCTAAAAGCTCTCAAAGAACTTCACAAACTAGCCCCTTTAGTGGAATATGAGCACCAGTCACCAGCGTGTTATAACACCACACAAGACTCTAGAACAAGAATTGAAGGCGAACATTCAAACCAAATTAAATTAGATAATTTAGCACTTCTGAACCAGTTATGTGAAATGATTATTAAAAAGGTCCCCCATTCAGAAATAAATGACAAAATAGCTAAAAAGAACACTGTGCTCTGCCACATGCCACCATAACCATTCAGTAAGATCATGTTAGTTCTATGTCTCATTCCAAACTGTGGATTACACATCCTTCACAAAAGTCAAACTTTTTTTTTTTTAATTTACTGGTTGCAACTCAGATGACCTCCTGATATCTCAGTTAATTTAAAAGAGGATAAGCATGGATCCTCTGAGGATAAGTACCCAAAAGAGATCTTATCCTAAACCTATGCCAATAGCCTACAGCAGTCTTCCTTCAAAGTCTTTCAGGAAATGCAAAGATATACCATCTCTCATATTTGCTTTGGAAAAGGAAAAACAGATCTAATATTGTCATAATGAATGCCTTAATCTGTCTTCCTTTGTAGTATGCTTTAGAGTCAAGAAAGGTATCCTATGACTAGTGAGTTTTGGTTTTGTTTGGGGTTTTTTTAAAGCTGTCTCTGTCTCTACAATCCTTTTCTTTATGTGAAAGATCTAAAATTAGAAATGAATGATCTTTATAAGAGTCAAAGTTCAGGTTTGATTTAGCCAGGAAGCAAAACCTTCCTGAGTGGGAAAACTGAACTAGAAATTCAAGACCTAAAGAACTTTTTGGTATTACCATAGCTAGGTAAAAAAAAAATACCTTCAGAAAAAACTTCCACTATTCAGCCCCTCACTTTTTAATTCACAATGAAAAGAAGCTTATGGCTTGATCTTGCCCAGCATCTCTGTTGTGTGACTAAATTTGATAAAGAACTGATAAGCAGCCAAGAGATCAAAAGGAATGCTAATTCTGGGTGTGAAACAAGTGCTCAAACAACCCAACTCAGATTATGCAGATGACTTCGAGGTACCTAAACCTGAGTTGGGTTCTGCTGCATGCAGGCATTCATGTAGGGAGGTAGCTGAAGGTAAGTTGGTGGGGGGAAGGTGGGAAAGGGAGGGACTGACAGGATCAGGGGGCTGGTTGGTCTGGGGAGAGCTGGTGGGTTCCATTGCGGGGGGGTAGTTACAGGGTTAAAATAGCACAGTCCCAGGGCTGGAACAAGTGGTTGGACTTTCCCAGCCCCAGGCCTGTGTTGTGTATATGTGAAGGCAGGGTTAACTCATTTTAGATTTGGGTAAAGACTGATCTATAGTTAGTTCACTTCCTAAGGATAGTAGTAATGCATAGAGGGTGCACATGCACCCCATGAGAGCACTGCGTACCCCTGACAGCCAGCGTTCCCAGGTTGGGGGGCAGGCGAGAGTGCTGGTGCCCCCCATGAGAGCACTGCGTACCCCTGACAGCCAGCGTTCCCAGGTTGGGGGGCAGGCGAGAGTGCTGGTGCCCCCCATGAGAGCTCCGGCTGGGGAGTGAGCCAGGAGAAGCGGTCCCCTCATGGCCGATCCCGCCCTCATGGCCTGCAGGATTGGCTGTGGGGGGAGCCCCCAGTTGCTGACTGTCCAGTCATGGGGGGCAAGTGCCCCCCTGACTCAGGAGGCACCAGTCATCCTAGTCTGAGGATGAACTAACTTGAATTGGGTTCGCCATTTTTGGGGGCGATTTTAATTTTGTGAATGGCTGCATGAAGAGACATTTAAACTGATTTAAATGTAATGCTTGCATATATCCCCCGAGTGCTTGAATGTTACTACATATCCATTCTACTATCAGCAACAGGACCTAAGAAAGCCTTTCCCAACACAAGGAAGATCAAGCTGAAGCCTAGAACTACATGAGCTGTATCCACCCACAACAATTTTTTTTTTTAAATACTATGCACTTACACATAAAGGAACAGGTTCACAGTCATACTATTATTTGGAATGGAGAACTGTAAGTAGCCCTTCTCCTTACAGTCCGTCTACTGATGATGTCTGTTCACACTGATGCTGAAGAGGAACAACCATGTGCATTGAGAATGGTTTGGACTGCACTGAGAATGGTTTGGACTACTGAGGATATCTACATATCCAAACTTCAATAGGAAAGTATGCATTTCAAATCAAATTCAGTCCTAAAGTGAATTCAGTTCAGGTTAATGTTTTAGTTTTGACAAACTGAACTCACCCGTTCCTAACAAAAGCTGCAAGCCATGTGCAGGCCATTCAAAGACAATGGAAAATATAGAAAAAAGTGTTTTACTAGTTATAGAAAATACAGTCCCTGACATAAAAATCACTTATTTTAAAAAGCAATGAGAGGCATGCTTATATTATTGCTTGTGTAATGGCAGTATCATCACCTGCCAATTTAAAAAAAAACAAAACAATTTGGTGGATATCTTTTAGGTAACAGAAATAACATGTTGGTAGCTTCTGGCAGTCTCCAGTGCCTCAGATTAATGTGAGTTACTGTTTAGAATCACGGACTACCTAAACAGCACTGTTAGACATAATGCTCATCTGTCATGTTCTATAATGTTTCACTGGAGTCTAAAAACCTCCGTCTTGCTGAGCTGTTATGACTCTTCAGCATGATTAAAGGAAGCAGAGTGCTGAACATATGATAGGAGTACAAAAATTAGGGACAGTTATCAGTATTGCTGCTTGCCCATATTTCTGAGTGAATGAGTAAAACACTGCATAACTGTGTCTGACTTTAATACTTCTTTATAAATTTCTTAGCAATACAAGTAAAGTATATGAGCTGCATGCGTGCATGCATGTATGCAATACATGTAATACATGATATAAGAATGCAAACTGTTTGTTATACACCTGGTAAAAAACTAATTTTAGCCCAGTGACGGTCCTGTGGGTGGGAACAATGCAGCCATGGGGCTGTGCTGCCAACACATATATGCTTCTGTGAAGCTAAGTTAATCTAATTTTGATCTAAGTTAGTGGACCTACTTAGGTCCACTAACTTAGATGAGGTGTGCCATTTTGGGGTGATTTTATGCCCTCTGTATGCCTCTACAATTAGGCCTGTAAATTTAGATCAGCCTAGCCTAACCCTGATAAGGTTGATCTAAATGTAATGCCTGTACATATCCACAGGCAACATATATAAAAATGAATAAAAAAGGTTCAATTTTGTGGGTACAAGCAACACAGATGGGGTCACATACCACTGAAACTGATAGCCTCAAAAGGTCAGCTCAGAGGCAGCTAAGGAATGAATAGAATCACAACATGAATTATGTTCTCATT